GTGTTTGTTTGGTATCCACACCCAGCAGTGTTCAGGGCTTACTCCTGACTTTGCATTCAAGGATTACTACTGGTGGGGTCCTGGGTGACCATATGAGGTGGGGGATTGAATCTTACTAGCCATGTGGAAGGCAAAAACCCTAGCCAATATATGATCTCTTAGAAACCATCATTGGTCAGCTTTTTAGATACTTAAAATTATTAGTGTTACTATATTATTGGTTCTTTATATTAAAATGTCATAGTAGGGGCTGGAGCAATAGTACAGCAGGTAAGGTGTTTACCTTGCATGTGGTTGACCTGGGTTCAATCCCTCGCATCCCATATGGTCCCCCAAGCACTACCAGGAGTAACTCCTGAGTGTAGAGCCAGCAGTAATCCCTGACCATCGCTGGGTATAACTCACAAAAATAAAAATAAAATAAAATAAAATAAAATGTCATAGCATATTCTCTAATTTCATAGATGAAAAAGCTAATGTAATGTTAGAGGATTTGCTGCAAATGCATCAGAAAGCAAATGCAAATTTAAGATCCTTCCAATTTTCAATGCGTTGTAAAGGCCAGCAAACATTTTTGTAAAGGTCCATTTGAAAGATAAAATAATAACTCTTACAGGACTGACATTGAACAGGGTTGTAAATAATAATAGTTTAAATAACGTTCACCAGTTCACAACTGAGAAGGGTGAAGTTAAATGACTTCTCAGATGTTACACTGTTATAGAATGAAAGCGCCCAATTCAAACCCATTTCTCTTGATTCAGCAATCGTGGGGATCAGGAATGTGGGTTAACAGTGGTCAAGGGCCTCATGGGTCTGGAGCCCTGTATTGGTTCTGCCTCTGCAACAGCAACACCCAAAAAAACCAGTTCCTTTGTTACTTTTCCACACAGTGCTTGTTGTACTCTAAGTATCAAAAAAGTTTCTGGAATGTTCTGGTGGGTCTGCTCATGCCTCTTACCTTCAGGGTCAGTGAACCAATTGTGTGGGAATGTTTGTTCTTTGTGTTGAAAGTAAGAGCTATAACTTTCTTTCTCTAAAGTTACAGAAGGCAGACACATACTATAGTGTCAGCACTTTTGTGTGCCAGACATTGTTTTAGTTACTGGGATGTAGAATGACAGATCTCTTTCCCTCAAGGGAGTTTTAAACTATTGGTAGGAAGGGCTGGAGAGATTGTACAGGGGGTAAGGTGCTTCCCTTGCATGATACTGACCTCCAAATCTCAGCACCACATATGGTCCCACAAGCACCACCTTAAGCCCCGAGCACCTCTGAGTGTGCTCTTAAAACCTAAATAATAAACTATTGAGAGATTATGAACAAGCATCGAACAAGCATCAAATAAATCATAACACATTTCTTATAAGTGTTAGAAGCAATTAAGACAGTGTAATCCAATTAGCACTGGCAGCTTCAGATAGGGAGAAGGTAGACTGTTTTTGAAAAAATCATGCTGGCTGGGGGGATTCATTAACCAGAAGTATTGTTGAAATAACAAACACACCTCAAATAGCAGCTTATTTTGGTGAAGGAAGATAGTTTTTACTGAAATGTACTTAGATATGAGAGGAGAAAAAGAGAGGAAATATGTTCTCAAGAAAGACCATGGGGTTCTCCAGAGTGGAAAACACAAAAACACAGGGACATGCAAGAAAGATACATGTTCAAGGGAGAACACAGGCTTGAAGGGCGAGCCCCAAATAATAGCTTGAATATTGGAATTGATGGATGATTACAAAATGTAGAATGAGATAACATTTCCAATACACTTCATACCTGTGGATCAGAAGACACATTCAGTTTTGAATGTGGGTAAAGAAATGTGGAATACAGGAAAAAAGGAGACAGTTTATTTTAAAAAAAATGAGGTGGGTTTCTTTACAAGACATGGTAGCAGAAGCACTTGGTATAGTTACCAACTCCTAAATGACTTCTAATTATCTTCTTCAAAGCTTAAGTAGATGGGTCAGAGAAATAGTACAGGGGTTAAAGTGCATACCTTGCATGTGTCCAATCCCAGATTTTTGAAGAATCTAAACACTGCCATATGTAGCCCTGGAGGCCGCCTAGGGTCACAGGGTGGCTCAGGTGGTCCTTAGTCTCACAGTACCCAGGGTCACAGGGTGGCTCGGGTGGTCCTTAGCCTCACAGTACCTGAGCAGCACCGTAGCCATGGCCATTGCATGGAGCCACAGACTGATTAGCCTAGAATCACCATCAAGAATCACTTTAAGGCCCCCTTCCCAATAGAAAGGGTAAAAATGGTTGACATATCTAATACTTATTATGTACGAGGCAATCAACTTATATATGAAGATTATCTCAGAGACTATTATGTTTGTTTTATAAATTGAGAAACTGAGGTACAAGCAGCTTAGCGAGCTTTCCTCTAAAAGACTGAATAATGCCTCTTTCTACCCCCGATTTATATGGCCACTCAACATAGATAATTTAATTAATAATGTTCATATGGTGAGCCAGAGGGATATTACAGTGCGTAGTACACTTGCCTTGCATGTGGCAAACCTGGGTTCCATTCCTGGCATCCTATATGGTCCCCTGAGCACCACTAGGAATGATCCCCGAGTGTTGAGATGGGAGTAAGCCCCGAGCACCACCAGGAGTAACCCCCCCCTCAAATTGCTTTCATATGGGGAAATTATTCTGGACTGTGGTTATATATCATAAATGTCCCTTAGACGTTCAAAAGAGGGTTGGAGAGATAATACAGGAGGTAAGGCACTTGCCTGCATGTGGCTGACCCTAGTTTGATCTCCAGAACGACATATAGTCCCTGAAACACTGCGAGGGGGTGCTCCTGAGTACAGAGCCAATAATCAAGAATGGTCCCAAGCACTGATGGGTATGACCTAAATCCTTACATCCCACAAAAAGTTAGAAAGGATATGGAAGTAGAGGTTAAATGTTGTGGGCAGGAGCCAAGTAATTCAGGGATCTTCTGAAATTTGAAAATGGCAAGGAAATAGATTTCCCTGTTGAGCTTCAAAACAAATGCCTCCATGATTTTATTTTAGGCCACTAAAAGTGATTTCATACTTCTAGCCTCCAGAATTGCAACATAATAAATTTGTGTTGTGCTAAGACACTACATTTGCAATGATGTGTTACAACAGCGACAGGAAACTAATATATTTCTTAGGGGTCACAGGAGGTACCAAGTGTCAGGGTAAGGCTAAACATGAGACTCTAGTGCCTGTGCTAGAAGTTAAACTACTGCATTATAGGAACTCTCACAAGCAGAACAAAAATTTCTGCTTGAGTGCAAAATAATTGTCTCCCTAGTTTTCCTCTTATAATCATAATTCCAGGTGCTAAAAATGGGGGAAGTGTGCTTAAAACTAATTCTTTTCCTGCTTCCTTTTCTGCTTGACATCTTTGATCCTGAATCCAATAGATACAGAAGCAAAATTTGATGGCTAAAGGATTACTGTTTGGAAGTTACCCAGCTGGTTGGTGAAATAATTCCCATACAAGGGCAGGTGATGATGTGGGAAGACCTGCTGATTTAATACTTGTGTGGAACTTAAGGAAGTGGACTCTGTGGCAAGTGAGAACCAAAGGACCAAGTATTTCTGAAACCTGTGTGTCTCAAAACTTAGGAAGGATGGGAGAAGCACTGTGAATTATATATTTACCCAAAAATAATAACTATAGATGAATCCAAAGTTTGTTCAGTAGCTCCTGATGATTTTTAGCCCCTTATGATTTTTTTTTTGGTTTTGGAGCCACACCCAGCAGTGCTCAGGAGTTACTCTGGGCTCTTAACTCAGGAATTACTCCTGGTGGATTCAGGGGACCATATGGGAAGCCGGGAATCAAAACGGGCGGGCTGCATGTAAGGCAAGTGCCCTAAATTCTATGCTATCTTTAGAGTCCCAGTCCCTTACGATTTTTATACTCCCAAATTATATTATATTAGATGTTTAATATTGATATATTTAAATATATTATAAACATATTAGTTTAGACAATTATACACTCTACTACACATGTTACTAATATGCCTAACCAATACAAAACATAAAACAGGTAGCATTACTATTAAAGTGATATATAATTAAATACAACCAATATAATTTACATAATAATATAATTCATTATATATTATAAGATACCTTGCATTAGCCACTTTCACATTCTATTGGTTGAGCCTACCTCTCCAGCAACTTCCAGAACACAGTGGGAAGGTATAAAAATTAACTGAATTAAGCAGAATGCTGCTGAAAGCAACATCGGACTAGAGCTTTTCAAACTTTAAGGTAAAGGCAAATTTCCTGGGTACCTCATTCAAGTACAAATCAGAGTCAGAAGTTCTGATTGGAGTTGAGATTAGGCAATTTTATCACGTATAATGCTCTACAGTTTTCAAGCCCCCCCCTTCCAAATAAAACTGTCCAATCCAAACCAAAAATATATCTCACACGGTGGTTTTTATTGTGGTTGTTGTGTGTATGTGGAGGGGGCACATCCCTGAATCTTGGGGTCCATGTAGTATAGCAGTTTGATTTGGGGGACCCGTTATCAAAGTATGCACTCGAGCCCTCTGAGCCATCTCCCTGGCTCCGAGGCAAACAACTTTTACTGAAACTTTCGAAGATGACCTAGAAAAATACTGCCCCTCGCGTTCAGCACCCGACCCTCCCGAGAGAGGAAACGATCCAGAGGACGGCCGGGGTTCGAAGAAAGCTTTGGCCCGGCTGCTGGCTCCTTGCTGTGCCCTGTTCTCATCTCACTGGGGCGAGGAGCGCTCGGAGGAGCAGAAGGAGTTCCCAGGCTCGCGGGTTCCCAGGCTTCAAGGAGCACGCGCCTGGCGAGCGAATCGCTGAGGTCAAGGCGAGCGCACCGGAGCCCGGCGCCGCGCCCCCTTCCGCGCCCTTGCCCGGGCGGAGACAAGCGACGCGCGTGCGTGCGCACTCGTATAAATACATCCCAGGAGGCGGCCACCGGCCAGAGCTGGGCTGCGGGCACCGTGAGCCATGGCTGGCGAGGACCGCGAGTGGCGGAGCAGCATCCTCTACAACATGCTGCTGGGCTCCCAGCCCAAGCACGAGGCTCGCGACGAGCCCGGGGAGCGGCCCGAGAGCACTTGCTCGGGCTGCCCCTGCGGCAACGACGAGCCCCCGGTGGGCAGAGGGGGCTTGCGGGGGTTGCCGCCCGACGCCTTCCTGTACCGCTGCTGCGAGTGCGGCGAGCAGCACCCGCGCCAGGGCAGCATCCTCTACAACATGCTCCTGAGGGCCAAGGAGATGCAGGCGGCCGCGGCAGCGGCCGCGGCGGCGGCTCCTCCAGCGGCGGCGGCCGCAGCGGCGGCGGAGTCGCCTTCGACTTCTTCGACTTCCGAGGTGCCCAAAGCGCGCGTCGGGGGCCCCTGCTGGGGCTGCTCCTGCGGCAGCAACGGGCCGCCGGTGAGCCGGGAGGGACTTTCGGCTGGCCGCTCCTCGGCGCGCGTGTACCGCTGCTGCTTCTGCGGCGAAGATCACCCCCGCCAAGGCAGCATCCTCTACAGCTTGCTCACCAGTACCGTGCAAACGCACGTGGCTCCGGTGGCGCCCCGGGCGCGGCTGGCGAGCGCGTGGTGGGGCCGCTACTACTGCGCGCAGAATGCGAGCGGCAGGTACGCGCTGCCCGGCGTGCAGACGGGGGTGCTGCTGTACCCCTGCTACTTCTGCGGCGAAGACCACACGCGGCAGGGCGGCATCCCCTACCACCTGCCCGTGAGAGCCTCGGAGATGCCCCTGGCGCTGGCGGAGCCGCAGGGGAGGCGCTGGTGGGCTCCGGCCACCTTCGCGCCCCGCCGGGTGACTCTGCTGAGTCCACAGGTGGTGTGCGAGGCCGCCTCGGCCGGCCTGCTGAAGACCATCCGCTTCGTCAAGTACCTGCCCTGCTTCCAGGTGCTGCCCCTGGACCAGCAGCTGGTGCTGGTGCGCAGCAGCTGGGCGCTGCTGCTCATGCTGGAGCTGGCGCAGGACCACCTGAACTTTGAGACGGTGGAGACGCCGGAGGGCAACCTGCTGCAGAAACTCCTCGCCGCCAGGCGGCGGGAGGCCGTAGGAGACGAGCTCGAGCCCCGGGTAGAGGCTGAGCGCTCGCCCTCGGCCGCCGCCGCCGAAGTCCAGACCCTGAAGGGTTTTCTGACCAAGTGCTGGAGTCTCGGGATCACCACCAAGGAGTACGCGTACCTCAAGGGAATCGTGCTCTTCAACCCGGGTAAGGGCGCGGGCCACCGGCTTTTCTTTGCCCGGGGGAAGGGGTGGGTTACGCTGCGCCTGGGCGCAGCAATTAAAAGTTTTCAGAGGTGGGGGGAGTGTCGGGGTGCAAATGAATAATCGCTATTCCTTCTGCAAGGCTGGAGGAGCTTCTAGAAACCACTTCTCCTGGCTGCGGCGGTGGGCGGGGGTGGGGTGAGGGGTGGGGGTGGGAGGGTGGGCAGCTACAAAGACTCAACTGAGATCGGAGCTGTGGAGCGCGGTGATGTTTGTGGAACTTTGTGCTTAGCTCTCTGCACCTCCTTGTCAGTACAGGAAAGTCTGGACCATCAAGAACTCGGGTTATCTCTGTTCCTCACTAGCGTCTTTGAAATGCAGTTGCAAAGCTCTTTGGCTCTGAAAGTTTGTGTTCACTGCAACATAGCGTTCCGTGCCGGTATCTGCACTTTACTAGAACGTTTTTAGTGGGAGGAAACCTAAGACTGGCAAGAAAGGGAATTCTTGCAAAGTATCTGTGCAGATCAGCCCGAGACTCTATCAGACAGGACACTGGCTTAGTGCTTCATACGACAGCCGCGGAGTGGTCATTTTTATGGTTTAAGTGTCCTTACTTCAAAATAAATCACTAGTGAGGCACAGAGCACGGTCTCCTGGATCAGTCGCATCTTCGCTGCGCCACACTTAGGTTGCTGTTCGGTGCTTTCACTTTGCCTCGCTACAGTCTAAACAAATCCTGGAGCATCTCCCAGAACACCTGGCGCCGCCTCTGAGTATGTCGTATTTGAGGCATCTTCAGCAGCTTTCCAGAGGGGCCCCCAAGTAAACGCGAAGTTTCTCGGCAGTTTGACCGGGGATTTAAATTGTTGTTGTTGTTGTTGTTGTTGTTGTTGTTTTTCCAAGAAAGCGTCCCCGCCCACGCGTCCCACACGCTTTCATCCCGTCGCTGGCTGTATCTGGTTAGGTCCCTGCCGCCACCCTAGCATTTAAAAGGGGGGGGGGGCATTTAGCACAATTAGAATTCATCCTGCACTCACGTTTCACTCTCTGCACAGCCCTTTTGCTTCTGTCATTGATTTCCAAATTGGTGTTTGCATAAGCATAAGCGTGGGGTGGGGGAGGAGGCGAAGCGGCGGGGCAGGGCGGGGCGGAGGGGGGGCGCTTCTTTAGGATTTTCCCAGGTACTGCTTGCTGCTTGCTCCTAGATCAGGGTGAATCAGTCATTCCAGGTAATTGTTAAGATCGTTTGGAACACATGCTTTACTCATTCCTTAAACTGTGTTACATTAAACATCAGCCACGTTGCCCGGTGAGATTTGTTAAAGTTAAGCCAGCGTCTCGGCTTCTAGAAATTTCACTCTTTTCTACACTGAGCACACCATGCACGCGCTCGCTCTCTCGTTCTCGCGCACACGCGCACATTTTCTTATTTTGGCTCTACTTTTCTAAATACTCTCAGAATGAATTTAAATAGATAGAGTGTGTTTGAGACACAGATGTACTTCATCTGTGGAAAAAGCAATGTTTGGTAACCACTGACCTCACCCCCTCCCTCTTTTATTCTTTTCTGTCTCCTGATAATTCTTTTCAAACATTTTTTTTTCAAAAACAACTGTGGATTCTTCTAACTACTTTTTCTTTCCCGAATTTACTTTGAAGGAACGTTTCCTGTTCCCTTTAAAAAAAAAAAAGCTACGTGGGGTGGGGGGTGGGGAGTGAGAGTGGGGAGAAAGAAGGGGGGTGGTATGAAAGCAGAGAAAAATGATGTGGAGTTCACAAGATGAAGGTTAACAAACTGTGAATTTAGACCTCAGGAGCTTCAAATTTCTCATTGAGTTTAACGCAGTGCTCCCTTACCCTCATCAGTGAAATTTACACACAATGAATTGTGTGTAAATTTCATTGTGTGTAATGAAATTTTGGATAATGAGATGGGGATGTTAATGCTGGGGACTGGGGTAATCAGAATTTAAGTAGGTCCTATTTTATTTGCATTTGATCATATTTGCTATGTTCCTATAATAAGGACTTGCCTATTCCCATGGGGGTCCACACCCTTTAAGGCTTAGAGGTACTCCTGCCTCTGTGGTGGGGGTGTGGGGTTGAACTGGAGTCAGCAAGCAAGCAAGGCGAGCTCATTAACTCCTATCTCTGGCCCACAATACTAATTTTTAAAGAATTAGTTCTTAAATAATTTCTAAAGCTAGTTCTGCTATTCTGTGATTGGTATTGTGCTTTAAAAATAGTTTTCTAGTGGGTCAGAATATTTTATTAGGAAACATTCATCCATTTATCTCCATAAAAATTTCAAAGATATTTATTGCCAAAGCAGAATAAAAATAAATTAAATCACAATTTTTCTGTGAGGTCAAAAATGTTCTTATAAATATCTTTACTTCCCACAAGAGGGGACATTTTAAACTGTTTATCTAAAATGTTTTATTCATTTTAATATATTCTTGTAAAAATATTTTCTGAGTCTTTTGAGGTTGATCTATATAATATCTAGTGTTTTACAATCCATTTATAAATGTCCAAGTTAATTCAAATTCGTCATTTCTGAGCACCTGAAATTGCAAGTGCATAAGAGAATGTTTACAGTTCTGAGATGGGTGTGTGTGGGTGTGTGTGTATGTGTGTGTATATATATATAGTGTATATATATCTTATGTATCTTAGATATATATCCAATGTGTATATCTAAATACATAATTATATATACATGTATGTATATAAATTTAAATAAAAATCTGGGGCATTTCTGGCAAAAAAGTACTTTTCTATTGGATTTTCTAGAAAAGGGAAAGGAAAATAATTGCAGCCATAACTGATATCATTTAAATAGAAAAATAAACTGATCATTACTACAATATAAGGTAAAAATTTTATAGTAAAACCACAGAGGATCAAAAAAACTTTGAAAAGCAAGTTCTTCTTACATCTGTCTTCATAAAATGTATGTGCATGTAATCTTTTCTATATTATATTTCATTAAACCTTATTTATCACCCTATATTGCAAGACTTTTCTACATTTCCTATTTGTAAAATGACTTTTAATCCAGGTTGTCAATGATGTTTTCAGATTATTTTTAACCTTTTAGTCACTATTCAGATAATATTTCCAAAGACTTCTATAAAGTGATTCCTACAAATCTTTTGGAAAGCTCATTAGAATAATATTTTTACCTTTCTTATATAAATATGATACAATGAGCTAAGTGTCCAGTAGTGTTTTTACTTATTGTGGGACTCTATACTAATATCAATATGCAGGAAAATAATTTTTAAAAGTCACATGATATATATACATATACATATGATATTTACTGCTATTGCCTTACTTATTAGAATGGTGGGAAATTTGAGTGGGGATGATAAAGTATATACTTTTCTAAATGCTTTTGAAAGTTTTTATTTATTATTTTAAAATGTTAGGTATATACTTTTTGCCAGAATTTTTTGATCACTATACAGAGGCTCGTTTCCCACAAGTAAAAGAGAAAATGCCCACTTCTTCCTATAATCTTAATTTCCTGTTTGCTCAAATGATGAACTAGAGCAACAATTCATTTAACGGTATTCTCCTATAATGTTCAATTAAGTGTATATTTGTTTGCTCAGGCACAGCAGTTTTCAAATGTGAGGACCCAAACATAGTGGCTTTTGAATAGAAGAATAACCAGTTAAGTGGCACTCTTGGAAGCATGGCTTCTGAAAACTTCGAATGTTTTTGTCATTCTCTTATCCCTAGAAAGCCCTTTTAGTGGGGAAGCTTGAGTTTTCATTCAATCTAAGGGGCAGAAGTGGATATTTTTTTTAAGTCCACTTTTTCTTAAAAGCCAGCAAAGGACTCTGTGAATGCACTGTTTATAACAAAGAGATTCCTCTCCCTTTTTTTTCAGACCTGCCAGGCCTGAGCTGCGTGAAATACATTCAGGGACTTCAGTGGGGAACGCAGCAGATCCTCAGTGAACACATCCAGATGACATACGGGGAGCACCATCCCAGATTCGCTGAACTGAACAGCACCCTTTTCCTGCTGAGGTTCATCAGTGCTGATGTCATTGCTGAGTTGTTCCTCAGGCCCATCATTGGCACAGTTAGCATGGATGATATGATTCTGGAAATGCTCTGTGCAAAGTTATGAAGGCCTTGAGGCCATGCAGATGTAGTTCATTGTGCAGAAAATGAATAGCGCTTTGTGTAGAAGTGTGTAGTATAGAATAAACTTTCGTATTTTTACATGCATAGTATTTTTGTATTGCATAGAGGAAAAGCTCTAGTAATAGTGAAAAAAGCCTGTGTTCTATATTGTTTCATTGTATAAGGAAAACATTTGCTAACAGTTAACAGTTCTATAGATCCCTAATGAAAATAGGATGCCAAACTAATAGCTATTTTCAGAAGTTTAATGATTCTCATGAACTTGCTAAAACAAATTTGTAGTACTTAGTTATAAAAATGTGAATGTGTTAACCATTAAATTGTTTGAGAAACACTTCATCAAGTTTTACCTAAGATTTCACAAACCATTAAAAATTAAGCCAGCATAAGAAAATGTAAACTTTTTCTGTATCATTTTCTCTGTAGGTAGAATCATGTTATTTGTTATGATAGTAACCCAGTGTTGGCCAGGGGTGACTGTCTGCATTTTTCTCTTGTGTTAACTCTGTTTTGGTTCCAAGTGGTACAATCTGTTATCATAAAGTCACTTGAAAGAGAAGAGATGATTTTCCAGTTTTCTGTATACAGTAAACTTCAACAATAAAGTAACATCTGGAAGCTCATTGTCACGATGACGTTTTAATTCTATCTCACCTTTAAGGTATATATCTAAATGTCATATTGAATAAGCATGGCATGAAATCATAAAATGATTTTGTTATTGGCTCCTGCTGCCCCTTTCAATACATTATTTTTCCTTCTCCAAAATAAAATTTAGGTTACCACATGTCCATTCACTTATAAAATACTAAATTGCTCATTAGTGATTATTTGGAGCGATAGCACAGCGGTAGGGCATTTGCCTTGCACGCAGCCAACATGGCCGACCCGAGTTCGATTCCTCCGCCCCTCTCGGAGAGCCGGCAAGCTACCGAGAGTATCTCGCCTGCATGGCAGAGCCTGGCAAGCTCCCCGTGACGTATTCGATATGCCAAACACAGTAACAACAAAGTCTCCAATGGAGACATTACTGGGCCCGCTCGAGCAAATCGATGATCAACGGGAGGGCCTTTACTTTTACTTTTAGTAATCTAGTCCAGTCTAAGCACAGGGACTCTTGTTTTGGGGGCACACTCGATGGTGTGCAGGACTTACTCCTGGCTCTGTGCTCGGGGATCTTTCCTCACGGGACTTGGGAGACCATAGGTAGTACCAAGGATTGAATTCAGGTTAGGTGCATGTAAAGTAAGCACCTTACCCATTGTACCATCTTCCTTTTGTATGGAAGGAAAGGAAACTATGATTCCTGTGGCAATCAGGTAAATCCTATGTACATTTTAGAACTAGAATTTCAGGATTAGTGCCACAAATCCTTTTTTTTTTGAGTCATACCCAGCAATGCACAGAGTTTACTACTGGGTCATGCACTCAGGAATCACTCCTAGCGGTGTTCCAAGGACCATATGGGATGCTGGGAATCAAACCCAGTTTGGCTGCATGCAAGGCAAATGCCCTACCCACTGTGCTATTGCTCTAGCCCACAAATAAATATTTTTTTAGCTTTTTGGGCCACACCTGGCAATGCTCAGGGGTTACCCCTGTCTCTGCACTCAGGAATTCCTCCTGGCTGTGCTCAGGGGACTATATAGGATGCTGGGAATCAAACCTGGGTCAGCCGCATGCAAGACAAATGTCCTACCTGCTGTGCTATCACTCCAGCCCACAAATAAATTCTTGAGATTACAACAAAGGCAATTATGTGAAAGCAAAACAGGTGAAATGCCAATGTGGCAAAAGTATGCTTCTTTATCAACACACTATAATGGTAAGTCTAATTTTCATCTTAATTTCAAAGAAGGGACTAGAAAAAATAGAAATTTTAAGATAATATACAAAAACTGGTGAGAAAATATCTGAGACATTCAATAGAGGCTGCTGGGCTGGGAGAGGGCAAGATCACCATCACAATCCAAGAATTGCCAGAAGGTTCTGAGCATAGAGTTGGCTTCAGGGTTCAAAGTTATGAGAGTGTGCTGAGGAACACAGCTTCATCTGAAGGGGGAAAGCCACAGGCCCACTCTGGAAGGATCCACACACAGGGTTTGCTCCCTCCTTCCCCCCAGGGTCACATGAAGCACACTTTCCCTATGTTAACTTTCTGATAGCAAATTATAAATGAATTTATTTTTAAAGTATATCGAAATATTTTTCACAATTCCAACATTGAGGGGTTGGGCCACACTATTTAAGAACTAGATTTTAGGGAATCTGGACTTAGTCATGACATATCTCAACAGCCACAGAGGTCTGTTTCAGATAGATGGCTTTTCCCTTTAAGTTTATTTGATTTTTTTTCATTGGGCAAGATGTGGGGCCACAACCCACAGTGTTGAGGGACTGTTCCTGCCTCTGCGCTCAGGAATCAATCCTGGTGACACTTAGGCAGCCATATGCGATTTCTAGGGACCAAACCATGGTTCACTTTATGTAAGGCAAGCATCTAATCCCCTAAGTTATCTCTTTGGTCCCTATAAGTATCTCTAAGAACCTCGCCACATCTTTTATTTTCATGCAGCCAAGGCATGCATTCAGGTCCGTCAAAGTAGATAGAGCTGACACCAGCCAGGTCTCAGGCAGTGTCTCCAAGGTCAGGATAGACACTACAAATAGTACAATTCCTAAGGTTACATGTGTCCCCCCCCAGAAACAGTTTCTACTGTTCGGGCACCCACACAAGTAGGACATGCATTGTGCAGGCAATAATAGCTCTCAGGACCCCCTCTGTGGATTCCTAGGCCCGGGTTGTCAGCTCTGGCGAGTAATCCAACTGAGTCCTTGCTTTCAGAGTCTCAGAGGGTGCCGGCTCCAGCTCACTGTCAGAAGCACCAGCTCATTACTGGCTCAGCACAGTCTGCATGGCTTGTGGAAGAGGTTCCTGAATCATAAGCACAGGCTAAGCAGCTTTCAAAGGCAGTGCCAATGTGCGAGTATTCTTCAGAAGCAGGTGGAAGCCTCCGAAGAGAGTTCTGAAAAGTCATATGCATCCATGCCCTGCTTTTGCCTCCCCAGTGCCAAGGTGCAATGATTCTCCTCTGTTACAAAATTAGTGTGTTGCATTCACAAATTCTAACGTTACAATTTCCCTAACCATTTTTTTTTAATTTCTTCCCACTACTCCATTACCCCACACTTTTATTTGGGAAGTGCTCTTTTGCAAGAGGAACAAAAGTATACAGCATTACATTTTTTACACAGATTAACCAGAAAGACAGCATACTCAGGAATTGATCGAGGTAAAAATCGGATTCTTCCATATTTTTCTTTCCTGGTTTTGTTGTTGTTGCCTTTGGACACACCCACAGTGTTATGGATTTATACCTGGCTCTGCACTCAGGAATTACTCCTGGTGGTGATCAGGGGACCATATGGGATGCTGGGTATCCAACCTGGGTTGGCCCCATGCAAAGCAAATGCCCTACCAGCTGTACTAATCGCTCCAGCTGCTGATCTTTTCCATATTTTTCAAAATGGATTTACAAAATCCCTCCGCCCACCCTCTGTCCTGGCTCTGATTATTTACCCAGTGAGCAGCCTCAAAAGGATTAATCCTGTTCTGGGAACGGGCAGAGGAAAGTTTCCAGCAGTAGGTGAAAGTGAAGAAGTGGAATCATGCTGTCAATCTATTGTGCAAACTGCAACTAATCAGGAAAGCAGAATACAAATCCAATTGCAGGGACACATCCCCAACTCTTTTCTGGAGAGTGGGGGGGGGGGGGTCCAGAATCTGCTCTGACATTCGTGTACAGAAGGAGGGGGGATGGACACACTCCCTCTTAGTGTTCTCTGCCAACTTGCAGCTTTAGCAAGAATCACACTTAAGACCAAAATCAGACTGCGTGAGCAATATTGATTCACCTGCAGTTCCGCTGCAAACAATCCTGTTGGAGAAAAAGCCCTTTCCTTAGGGTGTGTGCAAATGACCCAGCTGGTCCAACCAGTAGCCACAATGTTTTCATGGCTAAGATGTGAGAAAAGCAGTGTCCTAAATTTTCAACTGTCCCAGAATCTGAGTCCTGTTCTTTGCGCCTATGTCTGTTTGGAGTCCAGCACAGCTAGCTCTGCACTGACACAGAAACAGCCAGTATCAGGTTTCAGCTTGGAGTCTGGTCCAGGCATCTAGGACCTGTGAACTTAGTATTCCAGAAATGCCCCGGCAGCTTTTCCTCGGCAGCTGCAAAGCGAAGACACTGTCAGGCCAGACAACTGTGTTCCAGTCCAAATGACATGCAAGGCTTTCTGAGCATTTTTCACCTTGCGCTCAGAGTTGAAACAGGCCCATGTAAAAATAAGCTGAGGAGGCCAGAACATCACCAGTTCCTGTGGGGCACGTAGCTGATTTTACAAGACCTCATTAGCAAAACAAAAACTGCCTCTGTACATTCCCCAAGTGGATCTTCATCTTCGGTGTGGCTCTTCAACCCACTCCCCAGACTTCAAAATCAGAGCAAAAAAAAAAATCATTAGTAACTGAGTCTTGTTTCCAGTCTTGATGACTTAAATTTCCCTATGCACATCTAGGGTAAAAAAATCAGGGGGTCTTTGTTCCATTAGCATCTTTTTCATTGAAGCTGATTGAGATAAGCCCTTTCACATGTAGGTAAGTTAAAGAAAATGATGCTATGCATCCATTTATCCCAAGGCCGTCCTGGAAAATTCCTCCTTGCAGGTTTCTCCTCATTACAGGTACACACACACACAGCCCCCAGCAGTAAATTTGCAGTTGACAGTGCTCGCCATGCCTCAAGGCTACCAGGAGAAGCAACTGGAAAACAAAAGAGGCAAAAGGCAAATGTAGAGGCCAAGCTGAAAGAAATGGCTACGGTGGTTTGTTCTTTCCATTTCTATCTGAAGTCTTGCTCTGGTTCTGGGGACAGGGTTAACCTTTTTTTTTTTTTCTGCTGCCACTTAGTAGAGGGAGCAACTACAGACTAATTTGTATGTTTTGGCTCTCTCATCCCGTGCCCAGAGAAGAGAGACTGAAAAGAAATCAAGAAACAAGTCAGCCCTTGGACTGGGATTTTTGCCTCACTTTTTTGTGCTCGACCCACAGCTGCTCTCCTCCAGTAAGCCAGTTCTCCTCGGGAGGGAATCGGTTGCTTTCAAATGCCGCTGATAACTTTTAACATCTCACTACCAAAGGCTCAGCTG